ATGACCAATACATTTACAATAGCTACAATATGCCGATATATTTTCATAGTCGATATTGTTGGTGCAAAGGTAGAATAAATGATGAAAAGGAGAAATATTCTATTAAGAATTGACAACTACAAAACATGATAAAAGTTATAATGATTGTCACCCTATTTATAAACTAAAACTAGGGTTACTAGAAAAAGATAAAATACTAAAATACCCTCTAACAAACTTAGGGGTTAAGAAAAATAGTACAACTAAATAAATATGAATTACTATTAATATTCTAATACCATCCCTTAATTCATATTCCATCAAAACTTGTAACACCAATTCCATCCCTTAGTCTGAGAAATTGATCAGTCTTGATAGCTTTCGTCAGAACATCTGCCAACTGCTTCTGAGTGCTGCAGTGTACAACTTCTAACACTCCACTCTGAACTTGATGTCTCAGAAAATGATACTTGGTCTCAATATGCTTGCTTCTCCCATGCAAAACTGGGTTTCTGGCAAGATTGATTGCAGACTTGTTGTCAATCATCAACTTCAGAGGTTTGTCTACTTTAATCTTCAGATCCTGCAACAGATTCAGAATCCACACAGCTTGGCATGCAGTAACAGCACCTGCAATGTATTCAGCTTCACAGGTTGACAACGCCACAACAGGTTGCTTCTTGGAACACCAAGAAATGGAACCTCCCAGAAATTTGAACAAGTACCCAGATGTACTTCTTCTGTCAACTCTGTCTCCACACCAATCAGAGTCTGAATAACTCAGAAGTTCTGACTCATTATTTCCTCCAGAGGGAAATAACACCCCATACTTCAGAGTTCCTTTGATATACCTCAGAATCCTGACAGCAGCTTGGTAATGGGACCACTTAGGTTTACTCATGAACCTACTAACCATCCCAACTGAGTAGCAAATATCAGGTCTTGTATTGCACAGATACCTCAGAGAACCAACCAACTGTTTGAAGGTTGTAGCGTCCACATCCTTTCCTTCAGAGTCTGAACCCAGTTTCTGATTTGTATCAGAAGGTGTGACAGCCATCTTACAATTCTTCAAATCAAATCTCTTCAGAAGTTCTAGTTCATACTTGAGCTGATGCAAAATGATACCTTTCTCAGAATATCTGAACTCCATCCCTAGAAAGTATGTCATTTTGCCTAGATCAGTCATTTCAAATTCATTCATTAGAACCTTCTTGAACTTGACTATCTCCTGTTCAGAACTTCCAGTCAGCAGTATATCATCAACATATAAACATACCAGAGTCATATTGCCTTCAGAAGTATGCTGAACATAGACACCGTACTCCATCTCACATTTCTGAAAACCTTGCTTCTTGAAAAATGAATCAATCTTCTGATTCCAAGCTCTGGGCGCTTGTTTCAATCCAGATAGAGCTTTGTATAATCTGTACACCATCCCTTCCTGATTCTTTTTCACAAATCCAGGAGGTTGTGACACGTAAACTTCTTCTTCTAATGGACCATTCAGAAATGCAGATTTTACATCTAAATGCATCAGAGGCCAATTCCTGTTAGCAGCTATTGCAATCACCATTCTGATTGTTTCATGTCTTGCTACAGGTGTAAACACTTCAGAATAATCCAGACCAAGTTTCTGTAGAAATCCTCTGGCTACCAACCTTGCTTTATGTTTGCCAATTGAACCATCTGGCTTTAACTTCTGCTTGAAAACCCATCTGACGCTGATGGCTTTCTTGTCTTTTGGAAGTTCTGTCAGCTTCCAAGTCCTGTTTCTCTCTATAGCATCGAGTTCTTCTTTCATGGCCTTCAGCCAGAGCTTCTTCTTAAGAGCCTCTTCTGTACTTATGGGTTCATAGTCTACTAACATGGCACACTGAATAACTTCTCCTTCAGAGTTTACTTCAGTGTCTTGCAGCATGTCAAATTCTGCAAATCTTCTAGGAACGCTTCTGATTCTCTGTGGTCTCTGAACTTGTTCAGAGTCTTGAGCTTTAGAGTTTCCAGCTTCAGATGGTTGACTTCCTCTAGAGCTTTGACCATCTTCAAGATCTGGCATATTTTCAGAGTCTTGGCCATCTTCAGAGTCTGAATTTCCACCAAAATCTGGATTACCATCAGAGTCTGGATCATCAGAGTCACCTTCATCTTCTGAGTCTTCTCCAGAGTCAGAATCACTATCAGAGTCAGAGTCAACGTCAGAGTTTACTTCAACTTCAGAAATTCTTAACTCTGACCTTTCTTCAGAAGTTCTAACATCAGAATCAGATTGAGACTTATCCCAATTCCAAACTTCTGATTCCTTCACAATCACATCTCTGCTGAATTCAATTTTATTGGTTTCTGGACAATAGAGCTTGTATGCACCTGTACTGTGGTACCCTATCAAAATCATCACTTTGCTTCTATCATCCAGCTTCTGTCTTCTGGCTTCTGGAACATGTTTATAGCAAACAGAACCAAACACCTTCAGATGACTAACACTTTGCTTGTCTCCAGCCCACTTCTGCATAGGAACTATTTCCTTCAACTTCTTCGTTGGACATCTGTTGAGTACATACGTTGCAGTGGCAACAGCTTCTCCCCAGAGCTTCTGAGGAAGCTTCTTCTCCTTTAGCATGCTTCTCACCATATCAAGCAAAGTACGGTTTCTTCTTTCAGCAAGACCATTGTGTTGAGGGGTATAAGGAGCAGTAACCTCATGCTCAATTCCATTCTCCTCACAGAACTTCTGGAACTCTTTGGAGTTATACTCACCTCCACCATCAGTTCTAAGAATCTTCAACTTCTGACCACTCTGATTCTCAGCCTTCATTCTGAACTTCTTGAATTCATCAAACACCTCATGTTTAAATTTAATAAGGGATACCCATGTCATTCTTGTGAATTCATCAACAAACAACACAAAGTATTTATTCCCTCCAATTGATGCTATTGGAAATGGACCACACACATCAGAATGTACAACTCCCAAGGCATGTTTTACTCTTGGAGCAACTTCTGACGCAAATGGCAAACGTGGTTGTTTTCCTTCCATGCAAACTTTGCATGACTTCTCAGGCTTCTTAATTGCAGGAATTCCATGTACCAGCTTCTTTGAATTCAGATGTTTTAAGCTTCTGAAATTCAAATGACCAAATCTTCTGTGCCACAGCTCACTCTCCTTCTCAGCACATGTTGCACTAAGACATTCTGAGTCTGCAGTTCTGACATTCACCTTGAATGTTCTATTCCTTCCCTGTTTTGACTCCATAATCAACTTCTGATTGCAGTCATACAACTTCAGAAGATTGTTCTTCATGGTAACTGAAAAACCTTTCTCAATTAATTGTCCCACACTCATCAGATTGCTTCTGATGCCAGGTACATACCACACGTTCTGAATCAATGCTGTTTTCCCATTGTTCAGAGTCACTCTGACATTTCCCATACCTTCTGCATTAAGATATTTGTCATCAGCACATCTGATCTTTGTCCTCTTTTCAGAGTCAAAGTCAACCATCCATTTCTTGTTTCCAGTAAGATGATTTGAACAGCCAGTGTCCATATACCACCAGTCTGTCAGATCATCAGATTCAGAGGCCATCAATAGCACAGATTCGTCATCAGAACTTCTGGCTATATTTGCTTCTTCTGATTTTCTCTCCTTGTTTGACCAACAATCTCTAGCAAAGTGACCAAACTTCTTACAACAGTAACATTGGATCTTCTTCTTGTCATACTTCTCTTTTCCCTTCTGAGCATTCTTTTGCCTATCAGAGATTGAGCTTTCTGACTTCTGACCACCATCAGATCTTCTCTTGGCTTCTGACTGCTTCTGATACCTCCTATCAGAAGTTGCTTTCAGAGTCTGCTGCTCTACTTCCCTTTCAGAAGTTCTCTCAGTCAAACGCAACTCTTGCGCTTCTAAACTGCTCTGCAGCTCTTCAATTCTCATGGTACTCAGATCTTTGGAATGTTCTATTGCTACCACAATGTAATCAAATTGAGAGGTAAGGGATCTCAATACCTTCTCAATGATTGTTTCTTCAGAAAGAGTTTCTCCACACGCCTTCATCTCATTAGTGATCAGAATCACTCTGGAGATGTATTCAGAAACTTTCTCATTATTCTTCATGTTGAGATTCTCATATTGCTTTCTCAAGGACCGAAGCTTCACCTTCTTCACTGATGCGTCACCACCATAACATCTAACCAGTGTGTCCCACGCAGCCTTTGCTGTCGTTGAATCTGCAATCTTCTCAAACACATTTACATCAACACATTGATGAATAAAGAATAATGCTTTCTGATCCTTCTTCCTTACTTCCTTCTGCGCGTTTTTCTGTTCATCCGTTGCATCTGCTGCTACCGGAATATAACCATCAGTGACAAGATCTAAAACATTTTGAGCACCAAACAGTACACGCATTTGGATCATCCAACGATTCCAGTTTTTACCGTCAAATACTGGAAGCTTGGTGTTCATGTTGCCGTTTCCGTTCATCTTCACCTTGCACAATACACTCAGATTTCTCACGCAGTGTTTCCCAACCCACAGAATAAAATTCTGATCAGATTTTGTTCAAGATTCAACACGAATCTAAGAATCAAAATCAAACACACAAGACCTCACGTTCACTCGTGTTTCCCGTGTTTCCCAATGAATCTGAACCGGAGCTCTAGATACCAATTGTTGGTGCAAAGGTAGAATAAATGATGAAAAGGAGAAATATTCTATTAAGAATTGACGGCTACAAAACATGATAAAAGTTATAATGATTGTCACCCTATTTATAAACTAAAACTAGGGTTACTAGAAAAGGATAAAATACTAAAATACCCTCTAACAAACTTAGGGGTTAAGAAAAATAGTACAACTAAATAAATATGAATTACTATTAATATTCTAATAGATATCCATAAAAAATGCAAACTTTGGTTTGTTTGTAGAAGCACCTGTGCAAACCAGTGTTTCAATGCTTCCTCCAATAGCAAATAGAATTTTTCGATCCCCAATATTTCTACGCCAAACCGAAAATTTAGATCCACACCTGAGTTGTTGATTGTTGTTGTAAGCTTGGATTAAAATCCTTAGTCCAGGTAAATAGTTTAAGAACACCGGGTGCTATATTAACTGCCCTCGAGGCTCTCACAGTTTGCAAATCCACGATGAATGAGAAAGAAAACTCGTAAAATTCTTTGCCAAAAGAGGTAACTCCCCATTTTTCAATGAACTTCCAAATAGTTGAAAGCTTGTTGCACAAGGTATCCATTTTTGAGAGGTGTAGCTCTCTTGGACCAGATAAAAAATGATTTAATTTAATGTAGTTAGTTTATTTCAAATTGACTTTTTGAAATTTATATTTATATTTTTTTAAATTTTATTTTATTAATTATAAAAACACATAAAATAATTGATTTGATAAAAAATATAATGTAAAATAAAACACATTCCAAACACAATAAATTTAAAAAATAAAATATAACAAAATAAAATGCATCAATTATGTTCGAACATAATATTTATATATTGAAATAAAATTCATATATTGGAATGAACTATAAAATATATCGGAATAAATATTTTAATATATTAATTTTATTCTTATATTCGTGGGAGTAATATAGAATGAGTTTTTCAATGTAAAATAATTTTATATTAGCATCCAATAGAAATTTATCAATCTGTCATGTCATACTATTAACTTAGAATTTACCGTATAATGTGGCAGAATACATGAGAATGATTGGTTGACAGTGTAAAATTATTTTACAGTGTATACCAATTAAATTCATATAGAATACATTAAAATTTAATATGTTAAAATAAAATCAATTATATCTAAAGCATATAAAATAATAAAATAATACTAATAAGTTATATTAAAAAATAAAAATTAACTAATAATAAGTTAATTTAATACATCATATTTATTTAAAGAATAAAAGTTATTATGTCATTAATTTTTTTTTTAATATCCATAACCACATAGTATCATATTCATATTTGTTCGCTTAATATAATTAGTTACCATTATAGATTTGTTTAGAGAGTGGAGGATCAATATAAAATCTTGTTAAATTTGTAAGATGAATGATTATTGATGAAATGAATTACATCCCTAATATCTAGGAGCTCTATGCAGAGGGTGAATGAAATTTGTATTGGTACAACTGCATAAAATAGAAATCTCAGGTCAAACCTTGAGGTATAAGAAATCAACACACAAATTACATTAATCAGGATTGTAAAGCAAGCTGCACTGATTATCAGAAAACCACACCAAACAATTATTCATAGTATACAAGTAATCATGCTCTCATCCGATTGCATTTTGCTTGTATACCTCATATTTTTCTTCACATATTATTATCAAACTAAATTCGAAACTCCTTGCAACACTTCTCCAATTGCCAAACCGATGTTTTGTTCAAGCATCATACATCAAAAACTCAAAACATCTTGAAAAGGGAAGACCTTGAAGTTTTCTGACTTCCAAGCCAGTGTTGCATATGGATTCCAATAGCATCCAAGTACAAGCTATTCCTCCCATGGAAACCCACCACCTTCCCCTCTGTAGTGGTTGAGGTGAAGAATTTCCCTACTTCCTCGCCATATGGACCATACTGACCGCGACTGGTGTGGAATGTCAGTGACTTTATGATTTTATGATTCTCGTCTCTTCCGATTGATCCATAATAGCCGGATATACAAGTCAGTACCTCATGCGGATACTCCAGTTGTATCTAACATCACAATAAACATAACCATGAGAACTATATTTTGTATAATTAAACTAATTTGATCATAATCAATAAATAATGAACCAGATGGAGTGAAGCAGTGGAAGTGCTTAAAAGAAGTGGAAACTGAGAATCATACCCTATGCATGGTGTCTCCTCCATTACCACCGTGTTTTGTAGACCACACAGATTGCCTGTTTCGGTCATACTCAATTTGAATCGAGCAGATTCCTTCTGATACTTTTGTCAAATAAATTTGCTTAATCGCAGAAAAGACTCCATCATCCCAAGGTCTACCTCCATCCCCACCCCAAGGGCCTGCTCCACATGGAGCTGGTTCTTTGATCAAACCACAAGAAACCTGGGAAAGAGAGGACCAAGGTGAATATTATAACTTACCCATAAAGATAACCAAATTCTTGAATATCTTCAATATCTTCTACAAGTTTATTATAAAAAAGTAATACCTCTTCAGCTGCTGCGGGCTTAGAAAGTAACAGCTTGTTAGGCCAATGAACACTGCCTATCTCACCAATATTTGTTTCTCTAGGGATGATTTCCTTTGGATGTGTTGCTACCGGTACTACTACTTTCCCTTCTACCACATGTACACCAAAAGCATCAAGGAACAGACCTTTTCTCCCATGAATGCCAACGATTTTACCTTCTTTCGCCTTTGTGGTGAAGTAAGTTCCTTGTTCTTCCCCAAATGGTCCATACTTCTTTTTTGTGGTGTGAAAAGTAAGTGATCTTACAACAGCCGGCCCCATGTACATCAAAGGTCCATAGTAGCCAGATATATGTGTCAGGACTTCATATGGGAAATCAAATACTATCTGCAAAATAATGCATAGAAAAAGCTAAAATTCAATGTGATTTTCTAGATTATTAAGTAGAATAAAAGTTTGTTGGTATGCTCTTTGTTTGCCTTATCACTTTTATATCCTCCTGTCCCGCCTTGTTTGCATCCCCATATGGGATCCCCATCATGATCATACAAAACTCTAATCCATACAATTCCAACATTGCGCGACAAATTGATTTGCCGGATTCCTTTATAGGTTCCATCGTCAAATGCAGATCCACCAATGCCACCCCAAGGACCATATGTACATACACCATCAACCTTTGCTGTTGACTTTTCTGAATGTGTTATCTGCAACATAAATAGATTTTAAGATTCATTTTATGTTAAAGCCAAATTTTGATCTTTTAAATAAAAACTAAGGAGTTCAAAGACAGAGAACCTCCATAAAGATTGCAGGCCATCTTACCTTTTCTTTGTGTTCAATGTTGTTGGTTTCTTTGACGGTAGAAATCTTCCCTGATACCTTGTTTGGTATAGGCTTACTGAAATCATCTTTAGGATCTTTCTGACGTACAGCAACAACAATATCATAGTTCTGGTTCACAGTTCCTTGTATCAAAGAATAACCAAAACTCTCATTAGTGTTAGTCATGTGGCCCGAAGGAGCTAAAATTTTGGATAAATTTGGTTGCTTCAATGTCTTCATATAGACTCCAATGGCATCCAGGTACCAACCACACTTGCCATGGAACCCAACAATTTTGGCCCCAGTCATCGGTACTGAAAAATATGTCCCTTGCTCGACACCAAATGGTCCATAAGTTTTCTTGTTGCTCTCAAAACTCAGTGACCGAACTAAGTTGTTCCCCCATTGATTTAAACTACCATGGTATCCATGAATTGAAGTTAAGAACTCATCTGGATAATCAAGTTTCACCTAGAACACAGTCAAAAGTGGTTAGCTAATATATGCACAAATTTAACTGAAATCAATGTCACAGATTTTTTGGTGCTAACATCGAAAATTTATATCACAACATCAGCTTAGTACATGGTGAAACCTTTACCTTGTCAGTTTTATTTCCTCCACTTCCACCATGTTTTTCTGACCAAATAGAGCTTCCTTTCTTATCATATTCAATCTGAACGGAGTCAATTCCTGCCCCGTGAACTATCACCAATTGCCTTACTCCTGAGTATATCCCGTCATCCCAGCGGGACCCTCCATTGCCTCCCCATGGCCCAACAGAGGCAGGTTTCTTTATGGACTCCTCAGAATTCTGCATGCAAAACATCATGCAAAAGTGTTAAAAAGTAGGTGAAAAGACATAAAGTTGTTGAACATAAACTGTAAGGTGATGCATGCAAATGGTTCTACTCAAGTTAACATGAGACATTGTAAGAGTGAACTACCATTCTCTGCTTGTAGGAAGAGAATGATAGACCTTAGACAGAAAATTGTAGGTGTGAGTGTTAAGGCGTAAGAGGAATTTATGGAAGCAGAGGGTTGGTTTATGGCATGGGGATTTGTATAAAAAAATATTATACTTGAAAAATTGTTAGAAGAAGCTAATTCTCATTCCACAATGGAGGGAAAGAAATGAAAGTCATGGAATCAGATTCCAAGCAGAAATCAGTCTTCTTCTTTTATTAGGAAAGCTTCATACACTTTTTAGTGGCATGGAGAACATTTTCTTCCCACACCTTATTCCCTCATTCTCAGAAGAATAAAAGAAATGGAGAAAAGAAACAAAATATTATCTTCTGAAGTTCTGCTATATTCCATTTTTGGAATTTAGTCAGGAGCACTCACTCGGTTGCTTCTGCATGCACTTACCACCTGGTGCAGCTTCTATAAAGTATGTTTAATAAACTATTAAGGGAATAATCTACTACTCTTTCTGGATGCTTATTTGCGAGACAGTTTTGATTCTACCAGTATTTTATACCTCCACCAGATTTCTCATCATTAATCTATATAAGCATCTTTGAAATGATTACGATGATTGATTTCATTAATTTTTTTAATAACGTCTCGTTGGAAATTGTGAACAGGACATACATTCAAATCTTTCATCTAGAATCACAAAATGCTTGAATAATAACCAAATGAAGTTCTATACACTTTAACCTGATACATAATGTGAAAAGGGGAAGTCAACAATTTCAGTTGCGTGAAAGGTTAATCTTATAAACATCAATTCATCAGAAAGTTATGTATGTCATAAACAACAATACCTTCAGACAGATTTAGATATTTCTGATATCATTGATTAGCACGGACAATTTTGCTCTACCAATAGTCCCTACAAGAACAATGGCCACCTTTAAAGTGGTGTAAGCACTTTGAATCACTTAAATATATTTCACACTCATATGCCAATGATATGTATTTGGCTGTGTCGTGACAATCTCTACACATTTTCAAATTTTTAACTATTCGTAAAATTTGAGGAGTGTTGTGAAATTCTATTAGAGCAAAAGCAAATGCAAGTTTTTCACTATGCACACCACTAGTATTTTCCTTCTCCTCTTCCTCAATGCAAAGTTCACTGTCGAAAACATATGTCTGTGTCTTCACATTTACAGCTACCCGTTTTAGCCAAGAATATAGCTTATCAGAGTACAGGTTTGAGTGATCACCAACTACAAAAGTATAGACTGTGTTATTCCTTTCAATCCAGCATTGACCAACAGGTTTATTAACAAGCTTTTCTTCATCCGACTCAAACTTCTCACATAAGGAATATGCCTGTGAAAGTAAATATCGAGTTGTATTATTGCCAGGTACCAACTCAAGCAAATGTTTTCCTGCATGGACTGCCATTCCGAAATTTTTATGAATTCTGCAAGCGGTCAGCAAGGCATCCCATACAGAGGAATTAGGTTCAACGGGCATGTTTTGAATAAACTTCAGTGCTTCAGCAAGCTTACCGGAACGACCGAGCAAATAAACCATAGCAGAATAATGTTCCAAGCCTGGTATAATCAAGTATTCTTTAGTGATGCAAGAGAAAACACTCTTCCCCTCATCCACCATTCCAGCATGACCATAAGCTAAGAGAATACTTGCAAAAGTACCTCTATTTGGTTGAATTCCTTGCTTCCTCATTTGATAAAAAAGATCAAGTGCAGACTTTGAACAACCATGTAAAACATAACCGGAAAGCATACAGTTCCAACTGACAGCATCTTTCCGTGACAACCCATAGAAAATGTTTCTCGAGTACCTTAAATTTCCTGACTTGGCATAACTATCAATTAATGAATTTGATACAGGAAGTTCAGACACTAAATTTCTACGCACTGCAACACAATGGGTTTCTTTCACTTTCTTGCTGGCCACTAAATTTGCACAAGCAGGAAGGATAGTTAGTATTGTGACCGAGTTGGGAGCTATCTGACAAAACTGCATGTTCCGGAATATTTGTAACGCCTTGTCCTTTTGTCCACTTTGTATGAAACCGGACATTAATGAATTCCATGAAGCTACATCTCTCTTAAGTTTCCCATCTTTCTCAACGCTTTTAAAAAAACCCAACGCCTGATCCTCAGCACCACTCTGCATATATCCTGTGATCATTATATTCCATGTAACAACGTTGGGGGGTGACTTAGACTCCTGCATTTTCGTAAATAACTCATGAGCTTTGCCACAGAAACCAGCTTGGAAATATGCTCCAATAAGTGAGTTCCAAGAATACTCATCTCTCTCTAACATCATATCAAAAATGCTTTGAGCATCTTCAAGATTGCGACACTTGCAATACATTTCAATCAGTGAATTACCAATTAATACATTACTAACCAAATTCATCTTAACAGCAATAGAATGTATTTCTAATCCCATACTCAATGATTTTAAGGATGCACATGCTGATGCTGCACTTGCAATTGTAATGCTATTGGGCTCAACACCTGCTAAAAACATTTCTCTCAACAAATCTAAAGCATAACTTATCCTACCCTTTTGAGTAAAGCCAGAAAGCATTGAAGTCCACGTATATACATCAGGAGCAATACCAAGACATTCCATCTTTCTCATTAATCGAATTGCAAGATCACAATACCCTAACTGATTATAACACGCAATCAAAATGTTCCAAGTTACCAAGCCAGGATCCATTCCTTCTTTTTGCATTGCGTCAAAATACTTCCAAGCTTGTTCAATCTCACCTTTCATGCAAAACCCAGATATCATAGCATTCCACGCAATACTATTCCTTTCATCCATACACTCAAAAACCTTCTTTGCACAATCCATCTCCCCACACTTGGCATACACAGCCATAATCGAATTATGCACACGAACCGAATAGCGCATTCCAAGCCGAATGACCAAGGAATGAATCAACCTCCCAGTCTCTAAATCCCTACACTTCCCACACGCCTGCAAAACCTTCGGAAGCAAAAACTGATCCGGCAAAACCCCATACTCCATCATTTTATGAAACAGCCCCACAGTCTCCACCCATCTCTTGTTTCTTGAACAAGCACCAATCATAGCAGACCAAGTAAACAAATTCCTCACACGCATTTCATCAAAGACTTCACGAGCCTTATCTAAACGCCCGCACTTAGCATACATACTCACCAATTTGGTCTCCACAAAAGGGTTCACTATTTCAACCAACCCAATTCTAGCATGCAATTCATTACCCACCAAAATATCGTTTTTGTCAATGCATGACTGTAACAGGTTCATATAAGTAACGGGACTAACCTTAGACCCTTGTTCAGCTATGGAATCAAGAATTGCTACAGCTTCATTCAAGGAGCCATTAATGCATAGTTGGTTCAATTGAGCATCCATTGATTTTGGATTTGAAGTTTTGGTCATTGAGATATTGTTGGAATTTGCATGGACCTTTGTTGAGACATTACAGTCAAATTGGGTGGCTTTGTAGGAAGTCAATGTTAAAGGAGGTGTTGATTTACTGGGTATGATAATAGGAATCTTTTTCATTGTTTGTGGGTTTTGGAGAGAAGTTTAGAGATGAGGATTGTGCTAGTAAAGGTGTGGTGATAGAAGGAAGATCAAACTATGTTTATTATTGAAATAAAAATACTTGTGAATTTCATAAGTTATTGCTGTTTTTTTTTTTTAATATTTAATTATTATATAATTTAAATAAATTCACTAGGGACAATAAATCTAATCATTTCGAAATTCAGTTCGATTTGATGAACTTGATTTATGAACCTAATGAACTAAATAGGAGAAAAAAACTAAGTTAACTAATTAAATGAGTTGAACTAGAATTATACATAATTCGACTCGTTAGATTAATGAGTTAACTCTATTATATATAAGAAGGATTATATTATTTTAAAGAGTATATTTAAAAATTTAATATAAATTTTTAAAACAAATTTAACATAATTCGACTCGTTAGATTAATGAGTTAACTCGATTATATACTATATAGTGTTTTTCAAAATATTTTATCATGGTTTAACTTGTCTTTACTTCCTAAACATCATTTGAGTTGTTCATGAACTTCGTATTCTCAAATCCAAATTTGTCCCTAAGAAATTTCCTACCACCTTCACCTTAGTTGAAGCATATTAATTTTGTCTCTTTTTTTTTTATCAACCCAATTTTTATAAATTCGTATTGATCATTACTTACATTGTTATGTTGTTACAATGTGAATAACATAACATGTACTCTTTAGGAGAATTTTGTTGCTGAGTTTGTAGAAGGTTTCAATAACCATGATCATTCATTGTCTTACGTAGTTATTTTGAAACATGCTAAAATCAAGGAACCCCAAGTTTTCCCCCAATATTACTGTAACACCCCCTTTCTATACCCCTAAATAACCAAATAAATCATTTAGGCACTTATTAAAAATTTCATCAGAGCATAATTATCACATGGTATAAAAGAGGCGCATCACATTATCCATGAAATTAAAACACATACAACACCTGCTCATAAAGATATGCAACAACGGGCAACTCACAACAGAGGAACTTAGTCCTTATACCCACATCTCAATATTTAGAATAAAAGCGGAAATATCTAAACATTGAATCACTGCATTCATATAAACATATATACATCACTCAGTTAAATTCAATTCATCAGTCATGTTTACATAGCATTCATCAGCAGATACATATACAGATGTATCACAAAAGAATCAAAACAATTCCTAGCTACCCGGTACTACATATCAGAGTCGACCGACAAAAAAGAATGAAGCCAAACTTCACAAAAGACCTCCAGCAAACCTACTCTGCAATGCCTCTTTAGCATCATAAAACAGCAGAAGGGTGAGAAACATTATCATAACAATCAATGCATATAATTATACATCTATGCACAACTATAGAACGCACATATTACACATTTCTCACCACAACACATCATATACACCACAATGTATAAATAAATAAATATGGATAGTCACCAAGCACATTTATCATGCATACATCCATAATTCCAGTCAATCCATATAAACATACACAACATGTTTATTTCATCATCAATTCATATAAACATCTACATTCATGTTTATTTCACCAATGCATCATATAACGATGATAAATGCAACTCATAGAGACCGACTCACGACTCTATGCAGATGTAAATGCGGTACCGACTCATTCAGCAGGTTCAATTGAAGAACCAAATGGAACCATCGCTCTTTACCGAAGTAACTCCCCGTCGGGCCTACGATGTTCACCCATTGCTCACACCCACATGGGCACACAATGTTTATGGATTGCTCACACCCACATGGGCACACAATCTGATTGCTCACACCCCACAAGGGCACACAATCGTTCAGCAGATTCTACGCGGAATCCAATATAAACCTTCGCTCACACCCCACATGGGCACACGAGGCTTTTGCAGATCCTTCTAGGGATCAATTTAACACAAGAATGCATATCATGATGCTTCGCATGCAAAATGACTCATGACACTCTTGAAATGCATACATATTCACAAATATATAATTATGCATCTTCACCTCATACAAGTACATACAACTTATGCACATTCATATCAATCACGCCAAACGGCAATGAGCATCACTTTACCACCCATACAGCTACAAACTCTTATCATATAATCACGCATTTCCATTCGATTCAAAAAAATGGACACAATTTCCAAAAGGCCACATTTCACACTCCACGATTCACAATCTAGGATTCACGCCATACGGCTACCCACAACATATCATATCACAACATACAACTATGCATCAAAAGAAAGAGTCAATCATACTCGAATCGAAGAATCGACATTGGAGGGAAAACACAAGAAAACAACATGCTTTCAGCTCGCTACTTTGCTCGCTCAGCGAGCCCCTAGCGAGTGCTCGCTACCTATTCGCCTAGCGAACAAGCTCGCGAAGGCAAACAGAAGCTACTGACTTCGTTCGCTACTAAGTTCGCTCAGCGAAGGCTTAGCGAACCTTCGCTGCCTAACTCGCTACCAGCGAAGAACACCAATACCATTCTGCCCAAGTCTGGGACCGTTCGCTACTGGCTCGCTACTAGCTCGCCTAGCAAATGCTCGCGACCTGCTCGCCTAGCGAACGTGCTAGCGAGTGTCTGCGAACTTCAAAAACCCCACTGTCCAAAAATCTCCAACACTTCCAAATTCACTCGATTCAATTCCAACTTGTTCCAGTAGCCTTAGCCTAACATTTCTCGACTAATCTACACTATCTATTCCAGATTCTAACCGATAAAACTCAGTTTCTACCGATTAAACCATATTCGACCTAAAAATGGAAAATGAGCAAAACTCCCCAACAATCCAAATCAAACCAACAATCACATACATAATCATACCCATTGTGAGAATAATAAAGTTTCACACTCTTACCCGATTAATCGAAAGCTTAGAAGTTGATCTTGATAAATTCTAGGTTTTTTCTCCTCTTTCTCCTCTTCTCTCTTCTTCTTTTTTCCTTCCTTTCTATTTCTTTCTATCTCTTTTCTTTTCTCTCTATTTCCACTTATAACTCTTTCTATTCTATTTCTCTCAAAATATCCACTAATTAATTTCCCAAAACTCTCCAAATAATAAAATATCACAATATGTGCACATAACATATTAATATTCAAATTCCACAAATAAAGTAATAATCAATCAGATAAATCAAAAGACTCAACAAAAATAGGAAATCATAATCGGGGCGTTACAACTCTCCCCCACTTTAGAAATTTTCTTCCTCGAAAATATTACCTGATCCAAACAATTCTGGATACGACTCTCGCATCCTACTCTCCAATTCCCAAGTCATATTGCCTTCCGCAGCACCTCCCCATGCTACTTTCACAAGCGCAATATCCTTGCCTCTTAGCTTCTTAACTTCACGGTCCAAAATTCTAATCGGCAAAGCTTCCACCGTAAGGTTATCTCTTACTTCAACCTCGTCCATAGGAATAACATGTGACGGATCCGGAACATACTTCTGAAGTTGCGAAACATGGAACACGTCATGCAAATTCGAAAGATTCGGAGGCAACGCCACACGATAAGCCACAACACTGACTCGTGCAATAATCTGATACGGGCCAATAAAACGAGAAGTCAACTTCTTCGACTTCAAAGCACGACCCACACCCGTAACCGGTGTAACTCTCAAAAATACATGGTCGCCTTCTTGAAACTCAAGATCCTTCCTTCTCTTATCATGATAACTCTTCTGTCTACTCTGAGAAGCTTTCATCTTTTCCCGAATAAACTTCACCTTCTCCGTCATTTGTTGTACCATCTCCGGTCCAACTACCGACTTCTCACCAGTTTCATGCCAACACAAAGGTGTTCGACATATTCGACCATACAAAGCCTCAAATGGTGCCATACCAATACTTGAGTGAAAACTGTTATTGTAGGTGAACTCAATCAACGCTAAATAACTATCCCATGCACCACCTTGCTCTAACACACAAGCTCGCAACAAATCCTCCAACGATTGAATTGTACTCTCGGTTTGACCATCTGTTTGCGGATGATAAGCCGAACTCAATCTTAGCTTCGAACCCAAAGCCTTTTGCAAACTTTCCCAAAATCTCGACGTAAATCTAGGATCTCTATCTGATACAATACTCTTAGGAACTCCATGTAACTTCACAACCACACGAACATAAATCTCGGCTAACTTCTCCAAAGGATAACTAATATCAATCAGAATGAAATGAGCAGATTTAGTAAGCCTATCAACAATCACCCAAATAGCATTATGACCTCTTTGCGTATTCGGTAATCCCGTAACAAAATCCATCGATATACTATCCCATTTCCACTCTGGGATATCCAACGGTTGCATCAATTCACTAGGCTTATGATGTTCCACCTTAGACTTCTGACAAGTCAAACATGCATACACAAACCGAGCTACATCTCTCTTCAATCCGGACCACCAAAAGATTTTCTTCAAATCTTGATACATCTTATTTGCTCCCGGATGAACACTTAAGTTACTCCGGTGTCCTTCCTCCAATATCATCCTTTTCAACTCCGCATCATCGGGAATACAAATACGACCACGGAATCTCAAAACCCCAAAATTATCAACCTTGAAATCTTCATTATCATTCGTCATCAAATCAACGAACTTCAAATCCAACTTCTGCTTTTCACATACGGTTGCAAGAAAATCATTCGTAATATGAAGCATACCAAGTCTCACACTTCTCGGTGTCATTTCACAAAGCAAACTCAAGTCCCTAAAGTTCTCCAAAAGTTCCCATTCTCTCATCATCAATGCGGATAAGTGCAACGACTTCCGACTCAAGGCATCGGCCACCACATTTGCCTTACCCGGATGATAATTCTAACCAAAAACATAGTCCTTCAGAAGCTCTAACCACCTTCTTTGTCTCATGTTCAATTCCTTTTGATCAAATAAATATTTCAAACTCTTGTGATCACTAAAAACTTCAAATCTTGCCCCATAAAGATAATGCCTCCAAATTTTCAAAACAAACACC